AATGAGAGGCTGGGATGGAGGCAGGAGAGGCTGGGATGAGGGGATGAAGGGCAGGCAGCCCCCTCCTGCCTTTTCCCTGCCCACCAAGGGATGCATCCCAGGTTCCAGCCATTCCTGCTGCCGTATCCCGGGCATCCCTGCAGCCTCCACACCATGCAACTGCTCTGGGCATCAACACACAGACTAAAAATCTTAAAGTGAAGAATAAGTGTGGATTAAAGCAGAAAATGTATTTTTTTTTCCTCTCTTTTACAGGCTTTATATAATTCCCTCACCTATGGGCCTGGGATTGGGATGGGTTTGTCCAAGTAAACCCTTGCTGGCTGCTGGAAGATGCTGGCAGTAAGGAATTTTGTCAATAAAGTAAAATAAACTTTGTTGATGAAATAACATAAATTTTATTGACAAAACTCCTGCCCTCCTGTACCATCTCCATTCCTCAGCCAGCTGCATGATCTTCCTTCCTCCCACTGATGAGTGTGGGATGAGTGAGAGGTTTTCCCAACGGATAAACATTAAATGAGCAATTGTTAAAGCACTTGAAACAAATGAGCTGCCATGGAAGGTTGGGGAATCTCCCTTCTTCTTTTTGCAGGCAATTAAACCTCCCTGCATGGAAAGGGATGGCCCATCCATCCATCCACCCACTGCTGGTCCAGCAATCAGGATTAATCCAGATTAACGAGCGCTGGGAGAGCCCGAGGTTGGCTCCACACACTGACCCAGCTCTCCCCAAACCACGCTTGACCTCACGTCAACCCACGAGGGTGACAGCCCAGCTGCTGCTCCCACCCCTCTCTGGGTGACAATCCGGCCCCGAGAGCCACCCCGTGAGGGTTGGAGGAGCCCTTTGGAGGGGCTGGGTGATGGCATGGATGGGAGTGGAGCGGAGCAGCTCCTCCCAGCGCTGCCGGGCTGGGCACCGCTCCCTTCGTGCCACCTTCCCTCGGTGACATTTGGGCAGCGCTGCGCCAAAAACCCCGGTGTGGGAAACACTCACATCCACCCTGACACAAAGCTGGGCCTCTCTGGGCTCCATCACCGCCGAGGGAGCATCCAGAGCCTCGTCCTGCTTCCGAGGGCTGGGGCTGGGCCGTGCTGGCGGCCGAGCGTGAAGGCAGATGCGATTATCCGCGCCGGCTGCCGCAGCCAGCCGCTGCAGCCGTCCCGGCAGCCCCGCACTCGCCACGGCCTGGGGGAGGACACGGGCTCGGAAAGCACTTTAAAGCCTCGGGATATAATCTCTGCTCTGAATAATAATGATAGTAAGAATAAAAAGATATAAAAGTGCCTTATCGCATCTGCCCGGGAAGCTCCGCCTCGGGTTGAGCACGGAGCAGCTGGCACCGGGGCAGGATCTGCCTTGGGAAGAGGTCATGGCTCACAATATCCACGGGACACCCCAAAAATCCCCCTTGTCGTTTGTTTCAGCCCTTCTGCCTTCCCTCATGGCCCAGTCCGGCCCTTCCTCACCCGCCACAAAAATCTGTTGGAGAAAACAGGATTTTACGTAATGGCTCGTGTTGTTCTGCTCCCTGTTTTACACACACACACAAAAAAATAAAAAGATGGTAAGTGAAAACAAGGTCAAACCTTGCTTTGGCTGCCTCGTGTCCCCGGGGAGCACAGGAAGGGAGAGCACTGCTAGAGCAGAGGAGGGGACACCGCAGCCCTGCTCCTGGGGGAACAGGGACAAGGGTCCCCCCCTCCCCGCTGGCTTCAGGACCCCAGGCTGGCTCTGGGTCCTCTTTTAGGCTTAAATCACAAACCCGAGTGCGGAGGAGGCAGAGAAATCAAAATTAAAGTTTATTAAAGACAATAAATTACATTCCCTTGAGATACAGTAGATTTTGAGACAAGTACCTTGTTTTGCAGGACAGGAAACCTCAGCACCTTGTACCAGTGACTCCTGGGAACACCACTGGGATGCTGGGGGTCCTGAGGAGTGGAGGGGGGCAGGCAGGATGCTGAGAGTGCCTCCCTGAAGGTGACTGATCGCTGCTCGTGCCCGACTCAGCGGGTCCCTGCTGAGCACTGCTCACCGTCGTGACACCGATGATGCAGCCAGAAGCTGTCACGCTCCAGGTTCAGGAAGGAAAAGCCTCATTCCCAATGCTCCAGCAGTGAGAGGCAGGGAGCTCTGGCTGGGCTGGGACAGTGCAGTGGGTGCTGGACGAGCAGCAGTGGATGCAGAGGTAGATGCTGGGCGAGGAAGGCACAGCGGAGCATCCCTGTCCACCCTCAGCGCCCGGCCGGATTTGTGGACCTGGGCCGTGTGGGCTCCCCAGGAATTTGGGAGGCGGAAGAACCACCCAGCCAAAAAGGCAGGGGGGATGTCCTGCCAGAGCCCAGGGCCAGGATAAAAATACCCTTCCCACAGCAGCCAGCGGAGGGAATTAGAGTGGAATAACCCGGTCGCCGTGGCAGGGGAGGCTGCAGCAGCAGACGGGAGAGGCAGGGCTGGCAGGGAAAGGAGCCAGCGCCTGGGAGAGGGGCAGATGTCCCTGTGGAGCCCCCGGGGCTGGGAGCCCGAGGTGACCCTCCAGGTGTCACCCTGGTGGCGGGGACAGAAGCCTCGTCTTGGCGCCGGCGTGTCCTGGCAGGGCGGTGAGCAGCGGGCAGCTCCCGGGAGTCACTGCAAGGTACAGCCTGTGCCGGGACACACGGCGCTCAGAGGGCTGCCCACGCCAGGGGTGGGGGCAGGGGGTCCCGGGGGTGTGTGGGGTTGGGATCAGCCACAGGCAGGGATAGCTCCATGGCTGCGGCAGCTGGAGGAATATTTCCCAAGTCCCCTCGGAGAAGGGGGACTCACCGCTCCGGACGGACTCTGCCAGCGCCTCTTTGCCCATGGATTGTGCCTCCCGCATCTGCCAAGGGAGAGGGGGCTTTTCCAGCCTTTATCCTCCCCCAGCTCCCTCCAGAGCCCCCTCCCAGTCATCATACCTTGATCTGATCCTTCAGGTACTCGGCTCGGGCCATCAGGGTCTGGATCTGGTGGGGACAGAGAGAGGGTGCAGTCCTCCTGGAGCCAGGCCACGGGGGATGGCCGGCTGTCCCAAGGCTGGTACTCACCTCGGCATGGAGCAGCTCCCGCCGCCGCCCCGCCGGCTCCGCTGCAGGGAAAATGTGCCATGGGATGAGGGATGGGAGCACAGGACCCCTCCCTGCCCTAAAATCCCAGCCACAGTCCCAACTCACCGGCCAGGAGCAGCAGCAGCTCCCCCAAGCTCTGCTGGTACAGCTCCAGGGCGTCACTGTCATCCCGGCCTTCCTCCTCCTGCAACAGGCCCCGGGGGCTGGCTGTGGCTGGGGGGATCCAGCAGCCCCCTCCCCACCGGGTTTGCACCTTGCCCTTCCCTCGAGGGGTGAGGGGACCCCCAAGGCCACCCCTCACCTTGGCGATGGCAGCCGAAGCCACTTCCAGCGCCGCGCAGAGCCGAGGCTTGTCCTTGGCCATCTCTGCAAGGGGACATGGCTACGGGGATTGCCCAAAACCTTCACCCTTCAGCCCAAAACCCCACCACTGCTCCCTGCCAGCTCCAGCACTGGAGGATGCTCAAAAATCACTACCTTTAAGGAGCTCTCTGGTCGGGTTTCCTTTCTCCAGGAGGCTCTTGTTGCTGGAGGTGACCAACACCTTCAGCTCCTCTGCTCGGGAGATGTACTGCCTCACCTGTGCACATTTTGGGGGTGAGAAGACCCCCGATATGGGATGCAGAGGATGGGGGTGCTGCCCCCACCCCACCGGGGGTTTTAGCTCACCTTGGCCCGGATGGCTTCTTTGCGCCGAGCATCGCTTTCATCTGATGGAGAGAATGACCAAACACAGGGGTGGGTGGGCTGAAAACTGAACTCCCCCGGGGTGCTGCCCCCCAAAAATACACCCGGGCCCCGCATAACCCCCGGGGGGACTCACAGTGCAGCGCTGGCACGAAATACTCCAGGGCTTTGCGGTACAGGGAGAAGGCGGCACTGGCGTCTCCCTCCTGATCCTTCCTCACTGCCTCCACCACCAGATCGGTCTGGGGGACACAGGGAGGGGTCTCAGAGCTTGGAACTCCCCCCCGTTCCCCAGGAGCAGCCCCCAGCCCTCGCTCACCGCCTTGCCCAGGCTCTCGGGGCCGGGGATGTGCTCCATGTCCACGAAGGGGTGGGCAAAGAAGCACTCGAAGGAGATGCGCTTCCGAGGGTCCCTCTCCAGCAGCTGTCCAAGGAGATCCCGGCATTCCAGAGAGAGCTGGGGCCGGCTGGGAAGCTGGGCAGGGAAGGGGCTGAGCCCACTGACCGCTGTGAGAACCCCCCCAGCTCCATCCCACCCCACGTTACCTCCACGGCCCGGTCGCTGCGGATCTTCTCCTCCAGCTCGGCGAAGGAGCGGGAAGCGAAGGGCGGCTTTCCAAAAAGTGCTTCTGTGGGAGGAAAAGGAGCGGTGGGGGGAGATGGAGAGGGGGAAAGCAGCCCTGAGTAGAGCCCCCCGGGGCAGTAAAAGCCAAGCCCACCGTAAAGGATGACACCCACGGACCACAGGTCCGCGCGGGAGTCGTAGTGCTGCCGACACACCATCTCAGGGGCCATGTAGAGCGGGGAGCCACGCAGCACGTGCTTCTCATCCCACGGGGACATGTACTGAGCAAAGCCGAAATCTGCCGGACAGAGAGCTCGTGGGGGGCACAGGGAGAAGGGATTTGCCCCCTCCCAGCCCCTCCTGGGGAGCTGTCCTGACCTGCCAGCTTCAGCTGGGGGCTCTCCGGGGAGCTCAGGAGGATGTTCTGCGGTTTCAGGTCCAGGTGGGAGATGTTGCGATCGTGGAGGAACTTCAGGGCGCAGGCTGGGAGGGCGGATGGGCACGTGATAGCACAGCCCTGCCCCCCAAAACCCTCGGGAAGGGTCCCTGGCAGAGCCAGGCAGGGTGTCCTCACCGAGCTGCTGCAGGAAGACGCGTGCCACCTTCTCGGGGAGCATCCGGCGCGTCCGGATGAAGCGGGAGAGATCCCCTCCGGCACAGAACTCCATGATCAGGTAGATGTGGTCACTGTCCCACTGCGCGGCAATAACACCCAGCCGTGCTACCCCAGCCAGTCCCACCCACACAGGTTCACCTGCACCGGTTTGCCCAGTTGCTGGCACCATGGATACACCCTTGGGAAGCGAGGATGGATCCATGCCAGAGGAGTTCTGCCCCAGAGCACCCCCCGCACCCCGGGAAGCCCCCAGCCCACCTGGAAGTCCTTGAGCTCCACAATGTTGGGATGGCGGATGGTCTTGAGGATCTCGATCTCTGTCAGCAGGTTCTCCACCGACGCCCGGTTCAGGCTCCTCTTGTTGACGCATTTGATGGCCACCACCTCACGCGTGTCCCTCTGCCGAGGAGGGGGACAATGCTGGAGCCCCCCAGCCAAGCAGCCACCCTGGGCTGCTCCCCCAGCGCACAGAGTGGGGAGGGAAGGGAAGGAAGCCCTGCAAGGGGGCGGCCGGCGCCAGGTGGGGGCTACAGGGATGGTACCCCATGTGGAGGACGGGAGAACGGGGGTCCCACGGGAGTGGGGGGCAGACTGAGGAGCAAAAAGGCGAACCCCGCGGCGGGCTCGGCCCTACCTTCCTGTAGGCCTTGTAGACGGTGGCGTACGTGCCGGAGCCGAGGGGCTCGGTGAGGATGAACTCATCGAGGCGCGGCGGGGCCCAGCCGGTCCCGGCCATGGCCCCTCCGGACCCCCGGACCCGGCACTCGGGGCCCGGGAGCCGCTTCCGCCTTCCCGGCGCGCCACGGCGCAGGCCACGCCCACAACGCGAGAAACCACGCCCACAAACAGTGACCACGCCCACTCAATTCATCCGCGAGTCAAGCCACGCCCACTGGCCCCACCCCTTCACTGTGGCCACGCCCACAGCACCGCCCCAATGATGGCCACGCCCCCTCCGGCGGCACGGACACCGCATCTGGACCGCATGAACAATTTTTTATTAATCATTTTTTAAACATTAAAAGATCAGACGCGAGGAGGGGAAAAAAAAACCCCCAATAATACAGGAGGAAAAGGGTGTAAAAATACCGATTTCTGTATCCCAGCGTCCCCCTGCTGCCCCTCACCAGCACAGGATGGGGGTGTAATACAACCCCCACCCCGGCAAAGGGGCACCACAAAGCCAAACCTGCGTGAAACCCCCTCCCCGACACCCAAAACACGGGGCTGAAAGAGGGGGAGGTGGGAATCTGCCCCCATCCACCCCAGCGCCTCCCCCACGTCCCAAGGGACATCCCATTTCGGGATGCAGTTGAACACACATCACAACAGCTCCTTCCCAGCTAAAAAAAAGATCAAACTGGTGAGGAGGAAGGCAGGGAGGAGCCTTCCCTGGAGAAAGACTCATTCAAGGTTAGTTGGAGAAGGGTGTCACAGGCACTGTGTGACCTGGCAACCTCAGCTGCCCCAACCTGGGGCTGGGAGCCAAACCAAAATCCCTTTTCCCATCCCTCTCCTGCTTTCAGGTCACTGAGAAGACTCAACCTCCACTGATCCCTTCTCCCCCTCTCCGTGCCCAGGGCTGGTGCCTGCGGGATCCTTGCAGAAGCGAGGGATGTGTCCTGGGGGGACCAGGGGAAATACAGCCCCCCACACACTCCCCCCTGCTCCCAGATTCTCCTTCGTGCCACCCTGTCCTGGCTCTCAAGAAGCCCAGCAGTTACGAGGTCAAAATACAGCATCGTGTGAGCGTAATAAACCAAAAGTACGGTTTCTGTTCTTAAAATCAACCACATCAACTACATGCATGTTACAAAACCCTCCCAAAACAGCAGATAATCAAATTCTTCGTAGCAAAGGCCGAGAGAAGAGAGAGAGTAAAATCAAAAACCTGTTTCCCCTCATTTTCCTGCTACAGACAGAGTGAGGGGAAGAAGAGACAAACACCCAGAAGGTCCTGGAGAGAGGAATATTTGCCTCAGAGAATGTCTTCCCCCGTCTCCCCATACCCTAAAACAAGACAGGGAAAACTAATCATCCAAACCGTAGCTCAGCGGAAGTTAGAAAAAAAACCTCTTCTCATCAGGAGTGTCGGCATCACAGAGCTCACGTGGTACCCCCAAAAAGTGCGTTTTTAGAGAAAAAAATAATAATAAATGAAGGTTGAGGAGACGAGGGCAGAGGAAGCGAGGGAGGCAGCCCAGGAAGGGCTGGTTTCCCTGGGAAGGGCTGGATTTCCTGGGAAGGGCTAGTTTCCCCGGAAAGCACTCTGTGCAGCTGAGGAGGCTGCCCCGGCCGCTGCGTTCTGGAAGCTCCTGTTGGTGAGGATGCCTTGGGAAAACTCCTCCTGGGCCCTTTGGAAGCTGGCTCCTGTGCGCCGATACAGGGAATGCACCTGGGAACAAGAGAGGAGGGAAAAGAGTGAATGAAACTGGGGTTGCTGCACACACCTCGCCTTGCCTTGGCTCCCCTGACAGCCGGAGAGGATGGGCTGCAGCCAGTGGCTCCATGGCTCCCAGCACGGGATGCTGTGGATTTCATTTGATGAAAAATGTGGAGTTCTCAGCAAAATAGCTGGTTTCAGACCCAAAACTCCCCACACTGTGACGGCTCAGACTTAACCCAGTATTTACTGGAGGGCAGGACCTGAAGGTGCCAACAGCATCAGGTATTTCCTTCAAGAGAAATGCAGGAGAAAAGAAGGAAGTACCAATAAAAGCAGGATCAGACCAGCCTGTCCTTGCCTTCCCCCAAGCTCCATTTCTGCTGTTCCTGCAGAAATCCAGCCCTGCTGTTGTCAGGCAGGAGAAAGGAGGAGGGTTGGGTTTAGGAACCGGTGGGAAGGCACTCGCTGGGATCGCAGCAGGCTCTGAGAAGCCCCACAATGCTGTGGGAGCAGTGACTGAAAACCCCTGGATGCTGAACAGAGCCACAACCAGCTCTGCTCTGCCAGTTCCAGGCAGGACAAGGGGCAATGGTTTTAAACTGCCAGAGAGCAGAGTTAGACGGGATAGCAGGAGAGAAATCCTTCTCTGGGACAGTGGTGAAACCCTGGCACGGGTTACCCAGAGAACCTGGCACAGGTTTCCCAGTGGCTGCCCCTGGATCCCTGGAAATGTTCAGGGATGCCAGGTTGGATGGGGCTTGGAGCAACCTGTGATAGTGGAAAAGTGTGCCTGCCTTTGGCAGGGGGGTAAGATGAGCTCTAAGGTCCCTTCCCAAATCATTTCATGATTCTATGACTCCAAAGGGAGGCTACTTCCCGCTTCAAGAGTGTCCAAGAAATCTGACATCGATGCAGGAAGCACAAGCAAAAATACTTTTAATTAAAACCTCTTGACCCACCACTGTCCCGCTCCCGTCATCATTCCCAGACGGGAAAAGGGAGGAGTCAAACCCAGGACCCCTGGGAGCAGCCTGAGCTCTGCTGGCCCCCGAGCCACTCACCTGCTTGAGGAGGAAGAGGGAGAGGACAGCGCAGAGCGTGAAGAACGCTGCCACCACCATCATGATCACCACCACGGCAAGGTTCCCGTGCACCTCCGACAGCGCCGCAATCCAGCCGCTGCCAGGGAGAGGAGAGCAGGGTGAGCATGGACAGCATTCCAGCACAGCTGGAGCACCGAGGGACATGCTCTAGGGGAAGGTTACAGGGGAGTACAAAACCAAACCAGACCCTGGTTTTGGAGATAGAGTTTCCATTTGCATTTTTAGAGGAGGACTGTGCTCATCCCACCCACGTTCCAGCCCTGTGCCCTCCCCTCAGGCAGCACAATCAATACCCTTGGCGCCAACAGTGACTTCCCTGGGCACCTTCTCAAAATTCAGCCAAGTGGGGTAAAGATAGGCTGGAACAGTTAAATTGGAAGAGATCAGCTGGCAGGTCTGGAGGCTGGACCTGAGTGTCACCCTGACCGGGATGTAAGGGTCGGGAGTGGGAGGAAGAGGCAGGAAAGGATGGAGGTGGTGAAGCCCTGGCACAGTTTGCCCAAAGCAGCTGTGGCTGCTCCATCCCTGGAAATGACCCAGGCCAGGCTGGACAGGGCTTGGAACAACCTGAGATAGTGGAAGGTGTCTGTGCCCATGGATTAGGTGAGTTTTAGGGTCCCTTCCAACTCAAACCATTCTGTGATTCCACAATTCCATGTTACAGGCACTGGGAACTGCTGAAGGGAAGGGGCAGGGAGAACTCAAGGAGTTACCAGCACTTGGATGAAAATACCAAGACACCTCACTCAGAACACCTTCCTGGGTGCTGGAGAAAGGAACTTTTCCAACTGCTCAACCAAGCACGCCGTGTGCCAGCAGGAGAGAGGAAATGGGTCCCATTCGATGTGTGGCACTGCTCCTCACGGCACAGGGAAGCGGAAAGGCACACCACGCACTGCAGCCAAAAATATCCGCGCTGTCTGGCGGGAGGAAACGGAGCAGAAAGCTCCAGACAGCCTCTCCAAGCCAGACTGAACCCCCTCTCCATCCCCCGTGACTCAAGCACGGGGGGAAGGCCAGGGACAGCTCTGCCCACGAGCCCTTCTGCGGGCAAAGGGCAAAAACAGGCAGCAGCTCCCACCTGGAGGCTTCCCCTCGGGAGAAGCACCACGGGCTGCTAACCTTTCTCCTGCGCTCCGTAACTCCGGAACGGGAGCTGCAGCCAAGGCAGCAAGGCGAAAGGAAAGGCTGTGCTCTCCCTGCAGGGCACAGCTGCTGACATGAGGCTGCTGGACCCGCTCCAGAAGCCCAAGCTCACCCTTCTGGACAATGTCACCGAGAAAGGGTGAGGCTAAAAGCTCTCTCTGCTTATCTCAGCCCACCAAGCACAGGCTCCAGAGAAATTCGGGAAGAGTTTGGGGACAGAGTCAGGGTAGGAGCAGCAGTACCAGGCTGAGCAGTACCCAGATTTCAGGTCAGAGATCCCTCAGCCCCACACTGCTGTCAGGGAAGGCTCCAGTTTAAACAAGGCAGATCTGGTTCACACTAGAGGAGCAAATATGATCTGTACTGAGTGAGGGAGAGGGCAGCAGAAGAGGCACAGAAGAGTTCTCACAGAATGGTCTGGGTTGGCAGGGGCCTCAAAACCCATCACATTCCAGCCCCCTGCCATGGCAGGGACACCTTCCACTACCCCAGGGTGCTCCAAACCCCGTCCAGCCTGGCCTTGGGCACTGCCAGGGCTCCAGGGCAGCCACAGCTTCTCCGGGCAGCCTGTGCCAGGGCCTGCCCACCCTCACAGGGAAGGATTTCTGCCCAATATCTGGTAATTCACATACTCCCCTTCTCATACTCCTTCACATACCCGGAGTAGGATGGGAAGAGCAGGGGAGGGAGGCAGCCCAGCTGGGACCTGCCAAGGCTCTGCATGGGCTGAGAGAGGAAAACCACAGCAGGAAGAACAAGCAGCTGTCAGAACCAGGCCCCAAAGCTCCTGTCAGTCACAGCCCTGGTGAGAAAAGGGATCTGTGACACGGCAGGCAGCGAAGCCAAGATTACCTGTCTCCCCAGCCAGGAATTCCGACAGCCTGGATGATGTAGATTGCTATTTGGCAGAAGAAGATGAAAAAGAAGACGAAAAAGCTGAAGGAGCTGTCAGACCTGCGGGAGAGATGGCAACAGGAGTGAAACCCGTGATCCCTGCACTGAATCCATGCTCTGAGAGGAGAGGAACAGCTTCAGTGAACTCTCTTCTCCAGGGAAGAGCTGCTGAGGGGAGGTGATTTGGGGAGGAATTTGGGCACCCAA